TTCTTGGACTGCTCGAGCCTTTCTGAGAGGACACGCGTTTCCCAGGGAGGCTGGCTTCCCACTGTGGGAAGCGCTGGCTGCGGGAGGTGACGCTGTTAGAGTTTCTATTTCAGGGACATTTAGTTTTCTTCAGGTGTTTGAAGTCGCCACAGCAGATCTTGTATCTCTCAGGATCTGAAACCCAAAGTGTGTGCTAGCCTTTCAGTATGCTGACGTCATTTCCTCTCGAAGGGCACCCAAGCTCATAGCCCCTCATCCTGTGGAAGCAGCAGGCTGAGCTCATCAACACTAAAATATCCCGCATCTGAAGGGAACATGGGGGCGACTGAAAGTGAGGGGTTATGGAGTAAATTGTCCATTGGCTAATGCTTTTTTCTCATATGGAATACTGAAACCTTGATGTTTTGGCAGAATCTTAAGCTAATTTTGTATAAATGTGACCATCACATGGCACTCCTTGAGTAATTGATATTTGTGATGAAAATACAGATGAAATATTTTGGAAATAATGGCATTGTCTCTTTCTGTTGAAGTGTGCACTAAGATAAAAGTGCATGGACAATTTATTAAAATAAATTCCTTTATTTTAACTTTCTCAGCATATATCTGGGTAAAATGTTTTTTATAGATGCTGTTTAAGGGCTGGCGTCACCGCCTTGTCCACTGGTTCCTTAAATGTGAAATAGACATATCTGACTAAATTCTTGTGCTCTTTTTTAAAAGCTTGTAAGTTTGGGAAGCTATTTAATCTATGATTTTTATCTCTAGAAAGGAGATAAGAGCACAGCACTCAGAGGGTTTTAAAAATAAACTTTACCGTAGAATAGTTTTAGTTTAGCAGAAAAGTTGCAGTGGTGGAAAGAGTGTATTCATACAGCTGTCACCTGGTTTCCCTCATGGTTACCAAACTACCTGACTATGGAATGTTTGTCTAAACTAAGGAGCTGACATTAGTTCTTTATTATTAACTAAACTCTAAGTTTGTTTGGATTTCGCTGGTTTCCCCCTCAGGTCCTTTCTCTGTTCCATGGTTCTCATCGTGGGTACCGAGTTGTATTTAGTTGTCATGTCTATTTAGCCCCTTCTCACCTGTTTTTCAGACTTGTTCGTGAGGACTTTGACAGTTTTGAGGATTACTGAGTAGTGTTTTATAGATGTCGTCCCTCATTTGGGATTGATCTGATATTTTTCTCATGACTAGACTGGGTTATAGGTTTTTGAGAGGAAGACCACAAAGTTGAATTACCATTCTCAACATGTCATATCAAGGATATATGCCATCCACATGGCTGGTCACTGTGGCCGTTGACCTTGGCCACCTGGCTGAGGTCCTGTTCGCCAGGTTTCCCTGCTGGAAATGCACTCTCCTGCCTCCCTCTTTTCATACTGTCCTCTTTGGGAGGATGTGACTAGGCACAGCTTCTAGGGCTGTGTGTAAGGTTTAAATGAAATTATAAAGACCTTAACACAGAACCTGGCGGTTAGAAAACACTCATTACATGTCAGTTAACTGCTCCCGTTGCTGGTGCTTTCACTCTTGTCCTCTTCAGGACATAAAAGCCGGAGAGCTTCTTCCTTGTAGATACAGAGTGCTCAGTCATTTACTATTGATTGAAACATTTTTAAAAAATGAGTGCTCACAAACCTCTCAAGGGAGATGACTATACCTAGAATGTTTTATAGGTTGGAGGTATGATCTAGCTTTACCACTTCGAGGTTATGGTAACTCATGACCATCACCATCTGGTCCTAGTTCAAGGGATGGTGTCAGTTGGAGGACGAGTGTGGAGGGGTGGAGATTCAGGGCCAGGAGGGCTGCTGCCTGGTCTTGGGCATGAAAGGGAGAAGGAAGGTAATTTAGGAGCTGGCCTACATGAGGGCGAGATCTGTTTTCCCCTCTTGTTCAGGTTTGATAGCTTTTAGGTGGAATTTAGAGTTCTTGGAATAAATTGTCTCAGCAGTTCTCTGTAAAATGAGGGCCTTGTTCTGCGATCTGAAATGCTTCAGAGCCCATGCAGTTGTTGCTGGAGCAGTTCTCTGAGCCTAGATAACAGCGTTGGGAGTACTGTGTAACCATGTCTGTTGGAATGAATAAGAACAGCTGGTTTCTTGTACAGATACTGTTTGGCATGAATTTTTTATTTAAGTCTCTCCATGTATCTAGTAAACAATAAGCAGTATTCTAACATTACTAAAAGCCTCCCAAGTCTCCTTCCAATAAATTTCCTTTACTCCTCCCATTTAAAAGTTCAGGGTGGGGGATGGGGCTAATGTACCAGACAAGGAATGCTAGGAAATATTCCTGAGCTAGTAAAAATAAGGTTCCATTTCTATGTATTCTTTCTTATTTGACCTTCAGCTTTCCTCTTGATAACACGTTTTTGGACTGATTCTTGAGAAAGCAAGATTTATGCAGGCGTTCTTTTGCTGTTCCATATGTACTAAATAAAGAGGCTTATTCATATTAAAATGGAATATCCTGACCCTGAGTACTTAACGGTAAGAAAATTTGTACCTTCACTAATGGTAGGTAAGATGAAATATTCTTTCGGTTCTCTATAAAGGACTAGCAAGGAAATTCTTTCCATATATCCTTGTGAATTTCTGTCTTAACAAGCTTATTTAAGACTGAATACTCCTTTCCTACCCTGTAGAGAGTCCAGGAAACACTTGAAGCACCAAGATGGTAACATTTGTTCACTTATTCTGTTGTCTTTGTTATTAACAGCAGAAAGAAAGTTTTTACTTAACCTCCCCAGCTAACCCTAGGCTCTACGAACTGTCATAGGTCCACTGTCCAGTATCTGTTGTTTTGTCAAGCTTAAACCAAGTTCTCTGTCCTAGGGGCTGGGAATATAATAAGATAAGAGTAAGGTGGGACCACTGGACCTCAAGATACAAATACAGTGGTACCTCAGCACTCATTGGTAATTTGTTCCAGAACTCGTGACAGTGTCGAAACCAATGAGTACAAAACAATGAGGCATTTTCTCTTGCAGGGAGGCGTCATGACTCTTGTAAGTTCTAGCAAGTACGAGTCCTGTGCAAGCACCCAGTGCTGAAACATGTTTTCTTCTCACCAAAATGCGATGAGTATGAGCTTTGATGAATTCTGAAGCCAGTGAATACCGAGGTATGACTGCGATAGACTTCATGGGCTCTAGGAAGTTGTTGTTCTTAAAGCCTTTGTAAGATTCCTCTGGACATTAAGGATGATCACACATGTATCAACTGCCCTCCTTGGGATCACATAGGACAGTCATACTTCTTTTCCCTCTGAGGTTAGGCATGAACATGGTAGGCCTTGGCCCATGAAGTGTGAGCAGAGGCCACTTATGTTGCTTCCCAGATGAAGAGTTATGAGTCGCAATGGAATTTGCTTCATTCCCTCCCTCCTACCTTTGTGGAAACACACACATGAAATGGAGCCTTCACAGTCTTGCCTTGTAGAGGCTGTGATAAAAAGACCGTCTGAGCCAGCTTGAACACATAGTGTGAGCAAGAAGTGGGCTTTGGTGCTTACGAGGGCTGTGGCGGTGGGGTGGTGCCGGTGATCTTCTGCTGCCCGTTAGCCTGTCCTGACCAACGCAGTCAGCATTAGTATCTCTGCAGGGTTGGGGGAGTTAAGGCCTAGATGTTTGGGCCATGGAGGGGATATTCACAGTTGTGATGGTGGCAGGAACTCTGGTATGCTGTTGCACAAAAACTGGGTGTACTTCTTTAGAGGTGTGACCTACATTTCAGTTACAGTTGCTACATTTCTTCATTATGCACTGCATGCATGCTTTCCAACAAATACCTTTCTATAATGGAGAATAATTCTAAAGAAAGAAAAATCAAAGTACACACGCACAGGTTACCTGTTAATTTACTCTCTGTAGAGTCAAATGAGAGATTTTAATGCCAAACTACTGGTTGAGTGCCAGAAAGAACTTCTTGGGTGGACAAAATGCTTAATTTATATTTAGGGAATTTCCACTACTAAATCATGGAGCTTGTAAAATTTGAAAAGAGGAGGAGGGTGTGGAAAAGAGGGGGAAAGGCCCAGGGATGTGGTGGACAATATTCCTTTTAATTTAAAGCCACCTGAAGGCTTCAGTTGCATAATAAAGTAATCCCCATATGGTTTCCGTTCTTTCAATGTTAGAACCTCAGAAATGCAATCTACTTTTAGCCTTGGCTTCTGCCTGCCTCTTTGTCAGGCTGAGAGTGCTTCCCGTCTGCTTGCTGGTAGGAATGTAAGCAAAGCTCTATTCTCTTGGGGATAGTTCCCAGGCTGCGCTTTCTACATGGGCAAGTTGGCTCATTTGCAGGGAGGACCTTCGCTTCCAGAGCTCTGTTGACTCTGGGACAGACAGGGCCAGCCAGGGCCACCTCGTTGAAGGTGACTTCATGTTTCATTAGTGAAGAGCCTTCTGACAGGCAGCTTTCTCAACCGCCTTTTGTTCTTCCCTCCCTTACAATTCTGTTTACAATAAACTTCTCCCAAAGTTTAAAAAAAACCACAATTCATTTGGGTTTTGTTGTTTTCTCTTGAAGTTCTTAATCCTCAGAATCTTTAGGAGGTCAAATAGTAAATCTTGAAACTTGAATATGGAGTTCTTTTCAATTACATGTATGTACTTTCATTACTAATATTTTCTCATTTTCTTATCCTCTGTAACTTTACTTTCCTCCTGTGTTCATATGAGTTTCTGGTATACTTGGGAAATTTATGGAAAACATTTTGAGAAACAGTTTCATGGTATGATGCTGGACATCACTGTGACTCTGTATTCTGTGTTGTATGTAACTATTCTTGTGTGAATTTGTAAACTCTTGTAGTAGTCATTAAAATGCCATGAGATAACTTTGTTATGTCTCAAAATAAGGACATCTAGGAAGTCAGAAAATAAGAAATGCGATGCTACTTCGTAGTGATAATGTCACTATTAAACTTCTTTAGCTGTTTGTCCATGTAAAACATGAGATTAGTTGTGCTCTCTTTCCACCCCTCGTAGAGCTGCAAAATAATTTCTTCATACAAGCACAAGCAAAGTAATGTGTGTAAAGTGGCCTGAATCTTTGGAAGAAAAGTCCTTCAAAAGTATAAGTAGATGGAAGCAGAGGAAGACCATTTTATACTGAAGAACAGGAGAGTTTGAAAAAACTGGGGTTATCAGCTGTTCCGACTGAGTAGACAGCGCTGTGCGTCCCCCTCTCACCCACACCGGCGTTCCAGGAGGTCCCGCTGGCAGAGTCATCGCGTCAGTTTCTTCTTAGTTTGAAGTGAGCGAGTGCTTGGTGAGCGCGGAGCACTCCGAGGATGCGCACATGCCAAAAAGGGCCTCCGTGTTCCTCGGAAATCGCTGTGGGACATGCCATTAGGATGAAAATGATCTTATCTGGCCTGTAAATTAAATGCTACAGTTCGTCTTCTGCACAGTGTGTCCCCAAATGGTATTTCATGTGTTTCTAGCAATGCCTGCTATCAAGGAGACTAACATATTTCATGTGATTATTTCTCTTTTTGCTTAATTTTTAATTGTCAATTACTAATAGGTTGTCAACTACTAATATAGTGACTTTGAATCAAATGTGAAACAGAAAGAAAATCAAACACAATCCAACACCAGTCCAAATTAGCATAAATGTCTCTGTCGCCTATGAGTTTCTTCAATATAAAATTTAATGTGTGTATCACTCAAAAAACTGTAGTTCTGATTTTTTTTGATAACTTTTCAATAGTATATTTAAAAATCTACTTCAAGAGACAGGGTTCCTGGTACAGCATCGTTCTCCTTATCTCTCTGTATCCTCTACCCTCCAACATGTATACAATGTACATTTGTTTTCCCATCACTGAAGTTGTTAACAATTCTATTCTGTATTATAAAATTTCCCATGTTAAGTACTTAGGTTGATACTAAACATTGAAAAGCAGTAACCAATGTTTTATGTTATGCCTATGCAAATGTTCATTATAGGGCCAATTAAGATGCTCTGATTATATTCTCTTGCAATTTCACAACCCCCAGGCCTCTGTATGAAAGGGGTCAACCTAATTTTATCAACTCATATAACATTCACTTTGCATCAAAAGTGGCTTATAACCTTCTTTTACAATTTGTTAACTCTGAAGTGTTTGATCTTTGTTTTTTCTTGTTGGAAGAAGAAATATAAGCCTTTAAAAAACTGCATTTTCTTTCTAGGTTCAGTGTGGTTTTCTTTCATTAATCTTTTGGGATCTCTTTAAATCCTGGTATTCTCAAATTTCATAATGATGTTTGGGTCTTCTTAATTCTGAGTGGTACTTGGAGTAATCTGGAAACTACATCTTCCACGGCCCTGGGGGATTTTCTTGTATTATTTTGATGTTTTTCTTAGCTTTTTTTCTGTTCTTTCTTAATGGGCCTCCTGTCACTCAGATATTGGCCCAGACTTGATCCTCTACGTCTCTTGTCTTTTCTTTACATATTTCATCTTTCTGTCCATGTTGTAATGTTGTGCGGGATTTCAATTCTACCTTCTAACCCTTAGTGTTTCTCAGCAATCAAAATTTTAATTTCAGAGCTCATTCTTTTATTTTGGGGGCATGTGTTTTGAAATACATTAAACAATAGCATGAGCACTAGCATTCTTCTAGGAATTCATTTATTATAAAGATTTACACTATAAAATCAAAATACCCTATGGGTATTTGAAGAGACATCTAGAATTGCCATCCAGTTTCAAAATCTAACCACTTATGAAAGCAATAGCAGTTGGCACTGGCCTTCTGATTGGAGTTTTTACCTTACTGATAGAGAGCACTGAACAGCAGTTAGAGAAGAAAGGCACAGTTGCTGCCCTCAAGGCTTTTAAAGCCCAATTGAAAGAAAAGACTAAAGCAGAAGCTTTTTAAGAATAGAGAAAGGACAATTATGTAGTTTTAAGCCAAGTGTTTTTGTTTTCTTTTTAATTAAGATAAACCCCTTCATACATACAATTTTTCTATATTTTTAATTTATCAAGAGATGCAGAAAATGAAATTGTTGGAGGAAGACTGTTGCTTTTGATACATATATTCATATTCTGTTTATAGAACTATCCATCATCTATCACAAGATTAAATTTACCAAAAATCAACCTAGCACTGGAGGTTGTAATTTTTTAAATGCTGAGTATATTATGTGTAACAAGTGGTGTTTATTATTTTAGCTTTAGTTCATTACTATTATACTACCTTTATCACTCATTGACATTTGCGTATAAATCATACTGTACCTATGTGCAAAAGATTTTTCTTCTTATCCTCCTTTTCCTCCTCTATCTCCTCCCCTTCTTCTGCCTCATCATCTTTCTCTTCCTCTTCCATGTCTTTGATCTTACGTCCCAATAGTGGTGATGTAAGAATATACTCAGTCAAACCTGTGCGAGACTATTTTCCACACATCTTCTAGTCAGCCTTATGATGACACAGGATCATTTCCTGAAGTAGTTGGATGTACACTTTATATACTATTGGTCAGAGACAATAGTTTATTAATAATATTAAGGCCACCTATTCTTAGATGGCAGGAAATGTACATGTGGCTTTTGTTCATTTAGGACTTGAAATGGAGAACAGAGGGCAGTTGTTTGTGCTCTTGAACTTTTTCCTGAACACTAATTTCCATGACTTGTTTAAAGGCTATCTTGATGTGAAATAGGAGAACCATGTTTTAGAACTTGGATTCTTAACCTGGCATCTGAGTGGCACTTAATTGAATCAGCTCATCATGGAGTTACTTCTGTTTTGAAAGCTCTCTACAAAAATATACAAAGTCTGTGCTCTGGTTTCTCTTCAAATCGTATAAATCTTTCGCCTTTTACAAAAATATACAAAGTCTGACAGTTTCACTCAAAGAGAACAATAATGGGCCCTACTTACTATATCTAAGTTTCCATCCCTAAATTTGTTTTTTTAGTTTTGAAATTTGGCTGTCAGTACATTTTGGCTCAAGAAAACTCAAGAAGAAATGTTGTACCATTTAGAATTAGGCGTTATATTGGTCTGTTCTCACCAATGAAAAGTTTTATTTCTTGGCAAACTGATTCTGAAAATATAAATGCACATTACTTGATAATTTTGATTGCAGCTATTTGACTAGGGTTTTTTTTTTAGGGTGAGAAACTAGTCTGCAGCTAATATAGGTAGTAGGACAGCTACTCTATTGCTGTTGATATTCCATATTATGCTATAATACATTTTTATCACACGTAGTTTCATTCTTAAGAGATAAAAACAACCCTCTCTCTCTCTCTCCTTAACCCAATAGAATTCCTTTAAGCTTGTAGGTAGTTAACATTGAAATATTTTGCTGATGGTCAAAGCCCAAGGTGAAGGTGTAGTCTTGGCTCTCACACCGCTGGTTCTTAGAGCACCCTCTGGCCCAAGACATGTGGCACAGACAGTAAGAATCATGGGGAAATATTTGAATAAAGAAAAATAGAATTATTTGTTCCGGTACAATAGAAATGTGGAAAAAATCTGTATCTGTGTCTTTGGATTTCTTTGATTAAAGCAATCAATACAATATAAGACCTCAAAACTATATATAGGTAAGCATGCCTCTGTGCTACATATACTTTATGTCACAGTATTTGTTGGATGGTATTGATATATTTCCTGGTTGCTTTTTTCCTCTGATTGATGGTAATAAGAATGATTTATCACTTCTCGTTTCAAGTGGGTTCAAATGATGATAAGCAAATAAACCATTCAACTGAGAGTAGACCTCTCTGTCTGTCAGAAGCATATGTCTAAATATTAGCAATAGGAAGTGAAGAACAGGAAGGAAGATTGTGTAAGGATTGTTCTGGGAGCTTTCCTTACAGTCAGAACTGAATGAAGAGCTCATTTTCATGCCTGGTTCTCTGTCTGCTCCGTCAGCAGCACTGGTATCTGGATCTTTATCAGGTTACTACTGCTGATGTCTACATTTTCATTTATCTTGGCTTCCATTTAGTTGAAAAGAAAGACAAATGACTAAGGTGAGGCTAGGAATGCAGCACAGCTGAGAATGGATGTCTCTTTATTAGTATATAAGTCTATTGCATCACCTACAGTGTTTGTGCTGGGACAAAGTATTTTAATTTTCCCAAGCCAGGGCCCCCAATTCTTAGTTTCCTAATTTCTTTAACTTTTTGTAATTTTTTTAAATTATAAAAATGACAAAAACCCTGGGGTCTCATTTTTAGAAGTTGGTAACTTTCAAAAGAGTCTGAAGTACAAAGCAAAAGAAGGACAGGTAAGGTGTCTCTGAACCTCTCAGAAAGGGACAGCTTCCACCAGCTCTTTTAATTATTGTGGGGCAAGGAGAGTATAAGGGGCTAAAAGGTAATGGAAATAATACAGTTAAATTTTTTAAAAATAAAAATAAAAAATGCAATGCTAAAAAATAAATTGTGTATTAGAGTTCTGTGAAATTCCTTATAGAAAAATATTTGCTGAACCAAGTATGAAAACCATTGATCTGGGCCATCAGAATTTCTGAATCATCTTCCTCCATTTATTAGCATGGACGATTGTTTTGCTTCTGTTTGTACAACAAATTTCTGAAAAGCATTTCCACATTAATCACAGCTGGAGCTGGCTACTTTTCTCAGACCATCATGCTTTCTTTGTTATAAGTGTTTTTGCTACTGGGTAGGTAGGTATATGGTTCAGTTGATGGACAGATGCAGAGCTATAGGCAGGAAGGAGGGAAGGGAAGAAAAGAAGGATATGTAGTTCCATTATCTATTACTTTTGTCAATGCATATATTTTAAATTATTTCAGTTATATTTCTTACCACTTAGAGCAGGAATCACATCTTGCTTACATTTTATTATACAATATGCAGTTTAAATAATAATGGACACCCCAATCACTTTTTTACATATACATGGGTCTTTGTAGTTGCAAAGAATATAACAGTAAGAAAACACAAATATTCTGACCTTTTGGAGCTTCTTTCTAGTTGGAAGAAAAAGAGTAACACTGAAGTGAGATATAGGTCAGTGAATGATAATGCTGTACAGAAATATAAAGCAGGAAAGGGAAGGAGGTAAGTGACTATTTTATGCCCAGTGACATATGCACACAACCCAAAGAAGGTGAGGGAGGGAACTTGATCCTTAGGTTCAGAACCTTTTGGGTGGGAGGAGGGGGCAGTGAGGGCAAAGGCTTGATGCCAGAGTTTGTTTGGTACAT